GGGGGAGTGTGGAGGAGGCGAGTACTGGGGGAGTGTGGAGGAGGCGAGTACTGGGGGATTGTGGGGAGGCAGGTATCGGGGGAGTGTGGAGGAGGCGAGTACTGGGGGAGTGTGGAGGAGGCGAGTACTCGGGGAGTGTGGCGGAGGCGCGTACTGGGGGGGAGTGTGCAGGAGAACCTGTCACTTTGTCCTGACTTTGCCAGACAAGCAGTATTTTAAAAGGAAAGCTCGTTAATGGACATTGTTTTCTCAGTACAGGTCTACTGTAAAATGTGGAGCTTCCGAAATAGTTAAATGCAATCAATTCACTTTTTTTCATACATTTTTAATAAGCAGTCCTGGATCTGATGGCCTCTCATGTACATCAGATAGCATTTCTTACACAATATAAAGAGCGAGGCTTCTTTGTAGTTCTCATCTGTTAGTTTGTGCAACTCTGAAGAGGATGAGCAGTCACACACAAGCTAACATTGGGATTTTGGCACAAGGTACCCAACTGTTCGATCCATGGGGATCCCATTAACACTAAGGGCACATTTACATTTCTACGTTACTGCAGTGTGCACCTTAATGCATGCGTAGCGCACATTCCTGCAATGCACCTTCCCTTTGTGCATTCCTGTCAATGACACCACATTGCGCTGTAAAATACAACGCACGCTGCATTACGTTGCTCATGGAAACGATTGTGGATAATTAATGGGCTGCCTTAACGCAAAGCATACTATTGTGCAAAGTAAGGTGCGTTAACAAACTGCAGATGTCAGTCAGCCCCTAATTGTTTTTTCATTCACGCAGAACGGGTCGTATTGCAGTTATGCAATGTGGTCAATTTTGATTCCATGCCTAATATATTGGACAGCCCAACTTAGACAGGTGTGCATTGTGATCCATAGACTATACTGAATGCGGAAAATAATACAATTTAGGATTATTATAAAAATGTGCAAAGTACACTTTGTAAATATAAACAGACTTCTGGACTCACCTTGAAGTATTGCCACTCTTTGTATTCATTTAAATTACAATGTGTAATCATGACTTTCAATCCATCCTGCCCTTTAGTCAGACACTGATCATACTGCATCAATTGATTTGCTTCATTAATTCGGAAAAGCTAGTAAAATAAAAACATTGGCTAATTAACAAACATGCATAAAAGTGTTATTAAACCACAAGTTTCTTTTCACAACTTATTTCTAAAGATTTATATGCCTCAATACCCAACATCAAAGAACCATAAAGCCCACCTTGGGTTCAACCCCTAATGCTCCCCCCTTGGAACACCTCCCCCATTGCTTTTTTATTTTTTACATACCTTATTCCAAAAGTTTGGTCACATGATGGGCGAGGTCTTCTTCTGAACTTCTTCTAGCACAGGGTGGTCCTGGATGGTGCAGAGAGCGATGCGGACATCATCACCTCTGCATCATCACACTGTAAATGAAGGGCGCATTGGTGACGTCACCTCAGGGGGTGAATCCATGCCTCCCTGCACTCACAGGATCTCCCTAGTCTTCCAGGATCAGTGGTGCCTTCCAGGAAGACTGAGGGCATCCTCTGACAAAAAAGAAGTACTGCGGGAGGAGCTCTGGATTGAAGGGGAGTACTATATCCTGAGTTGCATTATTTGTATAGATTTCTTTTATATTTGATATGCAGGCAAAGGTGTGCCAGTTACTTGAACGGGTAATCCGGAACGGTTCATTTATATTTGGATATTGTGGTGTAGTCTGAATTTACAGTCTACTGAATGCCGGTAGAATTGTAAATGTGTGGGCTCATAGAAGATCCAGTGCATGCAATACAATTAAACAAGGTTGTATGAAACATTGATTGTATAAGCTAGGACATTTACTGCTAGACCTAAACAGATTTTAAAGGCACATTGCTTAGATTTACATTAAACTAATGCACCTCTGTGACTATAAAACGTCACAAACACTAAAGTTTCCATCAACAGTGTGGGAGTCGCCTAGAAGCCAATGCTTCAGTTACTATAATGAAGGGTGCATTGTGAGAAGGAGCAGTAAAGCGCAACCACTGTGTAGCAATTTAAAACTGGAATCCCAGCCTGTGTATCTAATATACAACTATGGCTGCCTCATATTAATATATAAAATCACATTACACATAGAAAGAACACATATTGATATGACTATTTACATCAGCTGATCTCTTTTACATTTACATGTTGATCTAAAAAACTGTGAAAAGACAATACAGTCCCTTTAAATGAAGATGTCTATCTAACTTGTGCTATTAAACAGGAAAGAGGTCCAAAAGAGTGGCATACTGTTCACTGAGCACAGAACAGCCCACAATCCCATACCTCTATTTTCAATGGTGTGGAAGAAGCTACTAGCACCAGGTTGCTTCCCCTTCCTTTTCAAGCACCTGCCAATATTGTAGGGAACACGGGCTGTGATTAACATATCATCAGACCTGATTGCTCTCTGTTCTGTTGCCATGTGGTTATCATTCTGTATGCCTGGGGGTGCGTCAGGTTGGTATCATTTAGGGGTCGGTGGCTATAATTATCTTTTTTTAAAATTTTGTAGACAATGGCCTGTCCAATGGATCGGGAATTATTCATCAATATTCATGAGGCCAGTCTGCCAAGATTCTCGAAGCCGGTAAATCAAATTGCTCCTCTCCAGTCAGGATTCCATTCCATCAATCCTCCAAAAAGGTTTGTTTACTGGTCTCACACCAGCTTCCTGAAGGCACTTCCACTTTTGATCCCTATGTTTTGTCCATATCCCATAGTAACAAAGTACTTGGTCAGCTCCTTCAAAGTGCTTATGTATGCCAGTTTATCTGTCATTTAATATTTCTATATTTACATATACTGTGCCATTGTGATTTAATGCTGCAAGAAATAATGCAAATAAAAAATATTGCTATTGGCTATACCTTTATGGAACAAAGTTTAACTCACCTGGTTTCCACCCATTCTGTGACAGGCTCCAACTTCCACCAATCCTCCATTCGTGTGACCCATGCTGTCTATGCAGTAATTGGTATCCAAACCTCGTACCTTAAAGTATATTTACATTTATTATCCAGTCATCGTCACAATAATTAGAACCTATTTTTAATCCTATGCCAATGTCAGCTTATACTGTATATGCCTTTTTACATTTATTATTGTGTATTCGGTTAATCAAAAAAAAACAACTGTATATTGAGTTACATACTTACATAGTTACATAGTATTTGAGGTTGAATAAAGACATTAGTCCATCAAGTCCAACCTATAGGATCTCGTTTTAGGAGTACTTGTACCCCTGTATATTACTGTCCCTTAAAAAATCGTACAAAAGTTTATTGAACAATTCCACGTTTTTTACTGAAATCACTGCCTGAGTTATATAATGGAATACATTGCTTCCATTTAAAGAAGGTATCCTGTCTTATAAATTAGCACAGCCTACACAGAGAACACCTAGGTAAGTTCCTATGGTACTGTGGAAGGTTTTTTTCTGGCCCAGACCTGCTTTGACATTTATAACAAACATGAAGAGACCATTCACAGGTCCTGATTTTTTTAATTATTTCACCGGTCTAAGACTCTTCGAAGTTATTGAGCCCTGTCTCTTCACATATCTTTTTGTGATGAAATGTCATAGCAGTTACATTAGGGACAAGAATAGAGTCAAATATTGCTTTACGGAACCTTTTAAAGCACGCTCCATTTCAAAATTTAGGATGATTTTAAACAATTAGGAAAGGTTGGGAGAGTAATTTGCATCTGTATCTTACTTGTTCATGGTAACAAATATTCTGAGGCCCTCAAGATCTGGGTCACATGGCTTGCCACTGCCTCAGCCATTATCTGTGCAGAACTGTTGTAGGCCAAGTGACGAAAGGGCAGGGCAGGAGTAATGTGACACAGTGACGACATGCTACAGAATATCTTTTGCTAGGATGGGCAGGTAAGTTTATGCTGGCTCTCGTACCCCTATTCATATTTACTAATGTATCTGTATTGTTTGGCGGAACTGAAATCTATTTAGGTAAACTTTCATTCATTTTGTTAATCTTTATTCAATATTGTTATTGCTTTCAGACATTAACAGTATCCTCAAAGCATGGACATTTGGTAGTATTACAGGTTGCAACAACAGGTTGGGGTCAGAGTACAAAGATAGCATGGGCACTGAGCAAATTACAGAGTTAGGTTGATAAGTATTGGAATGTGTATATGCATGGTAAAAAAAGTTTCTCAGACCAGTGTGAGAAAAAGGAGGGTGATAGGTGAGGTGATCAGAAGCTTGGGGGATCCCCCGGGGTCCTGGGCAAGCTGGGGCCTTAACCAAACACTGGATAGAGAGGTGTATTCAGTCAAGTATAGGTAGGTACTTTAGGACTCTAGAAGGGTGTGGGCGATAGGATACCGAAATATACCAAGGTGTTGCAACCCAGGACAGATGAACACCTATCTGCCAATTGGTGATCATAGTGGAGTATAATAAGCCTGGGGAATAAGGATCTCATAAGCATTTCTGCTCGAAGCAGGTAAGTGGTTTGGTGGAGTCCTGTGGTCTAAGAGTTTGTGTGAGGCAGTGCTTGACTTGTAAACATCTAAAGTTTTCAGGTGATGGAAGCTCAAATTGTCCTCGTAAAGTTTGGAAGGACTTACTGCCATTGGGGTCCATCAGTTTGTGGATTTTGGTTATGCCATGTTTTCCCCAGGTACCAAGAAGGATTGGAGAGGAGGGATTACACAAGAAAAAAAGCTGGGGTGTGTGTGGGAAATCTGTTAGTGCCCCAGAGTCTAACAGAGTGGGCCGTGATCATCAACTGCTTTGATGCTGACCTAAAGTGGGATTTCCCAGGTGGTGTGATAATTTGTTTGCGGAAATTAGGGAGTCCCCATCCCCCACACAGTTTGTGCTGGAAGAGAACATTTTTAGGTAGTCTGGGTTTAGTCAAACCCCATATAAATGTAAGTACCCTGCTCTGTAGGGCACATAAATTGTGAGTGGGAACGTGGACAGGGAGGACAACAGTGTCATTTTAACTGCAGTGATTCTCCCTAGCTCGGAGATATGAAGTGCAGACCCGCTGGCTAGGAAGTCTTGTTAACAATGGCAGATAAGTGGCTCTGTAGAGGGAACCATAGGTGTTGCACAGATTAACCCCAAGGTAGGTTAGCCAATGGGGAGGCCAAGTGAAAAGAAAGTTGCAGAGAGTAGAACTCCTACCTAGATAGGGATACATTAAGGGCTTTAGATTACGTGGCATTGACTTTGAGGTCCAAAATTTGCGTAAAGAGACAGAGGGTCTGGAGATAGTTGGGAGTAGAAATGTGTGGGGCAGAGACAACACATTGTTTGCAAATAAACTTAGTTGGTGATTGTGGAGAAAGGGGCACTGAGACAAGCCAGGACATGTCTACTGTTTCCCTCCATTGTAGCCTCCCCAGAACAAAGGACACATGAGGGGGGGGGGTTAGTTGCTCAGCAACAACCTGTGTACTCCCCCTCCCCTCTCATACCGGCTCCTCCCGGGACCTTTGTAAGTGTTGGTGGGAAGGCTGCATGCTCTCTTCCTCACTGACTGGTGGACTAGAGGCTGCGCTGAGGCCAGTCTCTGTCTGTGGATTCAACTGAATACGGACTTAACCCTGCCTGTTCTGTTCCACTGCTGCTGGGAGGTCTGCTGGGATCTGTTGTTCTACCCGTACTGGATGTACTCACACGGTGCCTTGTTACGTTGGATTACCTCTTGCTGCACCTCTGACCCCTGGACTACTAGCATTGTGACCCTGGACTTATTCCTTCCTTGGCCCGTTGCCTACCTTCTGGGTTGACCCTCCCCGTGGCCAGCAACCCCCCAGGACCTAACCCCGGCCTTTGTACCTTGCTTTGTATACCTGACTTCCCCAATAAACACCCCGCATGCCGGATTCCGTGTGATTTGCCTCTGTGTATTCTCTCTGCGCTCCTGGTTCGTCACAGTGATGATGTCAATCCCCTTTATATTGGGGGTTTTCCCCAATTAGAAGTGCTAGTGGCTCAATGGCCAGTGGGAACAACAAGGGGGAGAGGGGCCATCCTAGTCCCTCTGGTGATAGAAAAGATATATAATTTGAACCCTGAATAATTTATAGAGGCCCTTGGGTCCAAGTATAGGGAGGATACCAATTTCAAAAACATTGAAATCTCTTGAGGGTGTGAAATAGGCTTTGATGGGAAACGGAATTGAAAACCTTCTCTATATCCAAGGACAGGAAGTATGCTGGAATGTGTGGAGAAGGATAGATATTCTGCATAGGTTGTCACCGGCTTGACAGTGGGGGATGAATTCAACTTGGTCTTTATACACCAGGAAACCTTTTAATGGGTTAAAGCGCAAAGTGAAAATTAGCTTAAAGTTTAATATCAAGATTAAACAATGTTGGTCTAGATGGTTGTATCTAAATTAGGTTGAGGTATCATAGTAATTATGGCAGTAAGGGTTTCCTGTTGGAAAAACTGGTGTATTAGGTCACTATGAAAATATTTAGTTAGAAGCAGAACAAAAAGGTCAGCAATGTTTTTTTATAGTAGGCCACCGAGAGGCCATCAAGGTCGGGTCTTTTAGCAAATCATTTAGGCAATCTTTATTGCCAAGAAGTACAGGCTGTCGATTTCCTATTTATTTATTTTTTGCTTCAAATAGCCAATAGTGTCCAAGGTATAAATCCACATGCCTGAAATGAACATGGGTTGTCTAGCTAAATGAAAAAATACTCAATGATTGAATAGTCGAGATTTCTGTTATGTGTCTTGTCAGTATACACAGTAAGCACTCACAAGAATGTATTGTCAGCAATAAAAGAATCGTTACACTTTAGACGTAAGCTACAATATGGATGTATGTTCATGAAACACATGACAATACTGTTGCAGTTTGCTTCAGCTAAAGATCAACAGACCTCTGGTTTTGTCTCCCGTACAACTACATGTCCCAGCATACCTGTCAGCCTTCATCTGGTAGGACATGACAGGACTCTGAGTTCCACAGCAGCTTACCCAATTCTGCTTCTGGAACATTATAAAGAAATTAGAAGCAGAAATGCTCCACTAGAGGTCAGAACTAGAAAGGTTTGTAGCAGGAATAACTGAGAAAACTAAAATATATTTTTCTAAATAAAATAAAGTTTGAAGACTTCACATAAATCACAGTCCAGTTAAAGTTTATATATATAAAAAGTACAGTGTATGCACACCATAAGTCATGTGACTGGTCCTGTATGTACTGTAAATAACATGCCAATACATGATAGAATGGTCTGCTGAGATCCACAAAATAGATTGCATGAACAAGAAATTCCCCTTCCATATGAAAGGAGAGTGTTCCATCCTAACCTCTAATGTGGGCGGTGACCTGGGAATGTGTCAAGTGAAAGGACTTTTACTAGGGATACACCGATACCAGTATCGGTATCAGTGCCGATACTGCGTATTTGGGTGACTACTCGCCGAAAATGCTCCGGTACTTACCCCCGATACTGGAACAGTGCAGCGAAGGAACATGGAGCTGGCTTCCCGGCCAATCAGGAAGCCGGGGCGGTAGGTAATGACTTGCCGCCCGGCTTCCTGATTGGCCGGGGAAGCCAGCTCTGTGCTGTTTGGCAAGCTCCATGCTGATTGGCCGGGAAGGCCCAAGGTATGAAGGCAGGACCTCTATTTTCACCATTGAAGAGGGTTGAGGTGTCCCTTCATTTAGTTTCTGAGTATGTAGTGATGTTCGACTGAAAATTGGCAACACAGTGGTGTAGTGGTTAGCACTTCTGCCCTGTGGTCCCCGGTTCGAATCCCGGCCAGGTCATCATCTACAAGGAGTTTCCTCTGGGTACCCCGGTTTCCTCCCACACTCCAAAGACATGCTGGTAGGATAATTTGCCCACGTGTTTGCCCTCGTATGTATGCATGTGAGACAGGGAACATAGATAGTAAGTTCATAGATTGTAAGTTCCTTGAGGGTGGGGACTGGTGTGAATGTGCACTGTGTAGAGCACTGCATAAAAATTGTTGGCACTATATAAATACCAGTAATAAATAAATGAATCACTAGAAGCTTTTCCATGGACAGAACAACATGTGGAGGCTCCTAATGCACACAAGTACAGATATAATAATATGTGCAGAATGGGGAAACCTTAGTGTTATGGCTGTGATGATGTCATCACTTGTCAAGTTAGATTCTAACAAACACACTATTTTAGTAATCATTTTCACAGCATTAGAGCATTGAATGACTGTGGACTCACCTCTCCCCATTCTACATTTTTTGGTGGTAGAGGATAGTGATCGGGGATGTCATATGCGATTTCTTCCATAAACCATTTGAAACCTTTGCAGTTGTGGTCCTCTCGGAACTTCTTCAGTTCACTGATGTCTCCGTAGGCCAGGGCTTTTGTTTCTGGACGACTGGCATAAAAGTAATCCTTGTACTCATCCCACCAGACTTCCACAACTCTGACATAGTTCTGTAAAATAACAGACAACATTCCTCAACACTCTGCCTATATACACGGTATAATGTCAACATAAGGCTGCAAAACTAAACTAGTCTGTTGTAGTCCCATTCTACACCTACAGCCCAAGGGTCTTGGCCATTCAACAAAGATAAGGTCATTTGTCATACCCAAGTTACACAGGGCCTCATGCATCAATGTGGCTCAATCACATGCTCCATTTTCTGTCTTTTCCAGTGAAGATCTAAATTTGGCTGGTGGAAGCAGGGAACCCAGACAGCAGTCACATCCTTGATAGTTTCATATAAAACTCTCAGATTGCCCATGGTTTGCAATGGGAGACTTTTATAGAGGAGAAGATACTGCAGGAAACTGGTGCTAATACTTAAATGAACTACAACAAATGCTGGAACGTGAAGCAGCTGCAGCTTTCCCTAATGGGCTTTGTTTTAGTTCATTAGTCAGGTATTATAATTAGTGCTGCTGCTTTTAAGCCATTACAAAGAACACAGCTTGCTTTTAAAGCGATGTCCTTTTTCCTTATGCAGTGTTAGGCAATGGCAGCCATGGGAGTTCTACTGGCTTCTTTTAATATTGCCATTATGGACTATGACAGCTGAACAAGCCTTCATAGTGGAAATCTCCTGGAGGTAAATTAATGCCATGTGGCCACACTGTAATATAAGTGTAGTCATGTGACTGAACACTGGCAACCAACAGAGCTAGGCTGTGGCACCAATGACAACTTTTTTGTTAGAGCCACCTTTCTAGAGAACTTCATTTATTTAAAGTGACCCTGTCAGTTGCTTAAAAAATGGAAAGGCCAATTCCCTGGACAAAAGCTGTTATATTCCTCTCACCTGCAGCCCATGTCTCCTACCATTGCTCTGTTCCTATACTGCAGCCTCTATGAGATTTTTCAGCACTCAAAATTCCTGGGCATTTCAGATGTCTATGTAGCCTGCCAAGCACTGTGAATCATTCATCCAACACACTACCACACACATCCTCCTGCTACAGCCAAGTATTTAAAATTTTGATTCCTCAGTCCAGAGCACCTGCGGCCATTTTTCTGCACTCCAGTTCTTATGCTTTCCTGCATAGGTGAGTCGTTTAGCCCTGTTTCCACATTGAAGGAATGGCTTTTGGGCTGCAAGTCAGCAAAAAAATGGCAGGAGGTACTCTGAACTGATGGGTCAAAATGTGAAATATTGGGCTGTAACAGAAGGCAGTTTGTTTACCGAAGGGATAGAGAGCAGTACAATAATTAGTGTCTGCAGGCAACAGTGAAGCATGGTGGAGGTTCCTTGCAAGTCTGGGGCTGCATTTCTGCCAATGGAGTTGGAGATTTGGTCAGGATCAATGGTGTCCTCAATGTTGAGAAATACAGCAGATGCTTTACCATCAGGGATGTGTGTGATTGGCCCCAGATTTATTCTGCAGCATGACAATGATCCCAAACATACAGCCATTGTCATTAGGAAATATCTTCAGCTTAACCACTTCAAGACCAGGTGTTTAGACCCCCTTCCATTACATGGAGACAGAAGGATTTGAGGCAGCGAATGTTTCCTTATTGTTTTTTCTTCAGTTTACAAGATCGGCCTTTCCAGTTTTGAGGCTTGTACTTCTGCAAAGCGGCATTCTATTTTTCTGCCTATGGATTTTGCAGCGTTTTCCCACCCCTTGGTAGACACTGCTTTGGGACGTCCCTGTGGTGAGAGACTCAAGATCTCGGCTGTGTCCTTCAATGAATGAAAGAGAAAATAGGATTTTTGTACTCACCGTAAAATCCTTTTCTCTGCATTCATTGAAGGACACAGCACCCACCCCTGTTTGGCGTAACCAGTCATTACTTATGTACTGCTTTGTGACTGACTGAGCTGGCTCTAGCATATGGGGGTTTGGCCACCGTCAGGGACCACCCCTACTCTGTGCTTTTTTTTTTTGCCTAGTGTTCTACCTCTGAAGGTGGCGCTATAACCCTTTGGTGAGAGATTAAGATGTGGCTGTGTCCTTCAATGAATGCAAAGAAAAGGAATTTACGGTGAGTACAAAAATCCTATTGTCTGAAGTTGAGCTTTTTTAATTACAAATCCTTCAATACACATGACAGGCAGGTTGATTGCTTAGCACACAAAATGGCTCTCCTTGCTATTGTGGACTAAGTAGTAAACCAGTTTTGTTTAAATAATATGAACAAAGCTTATTAAGAGCAGCATTTCCTTGTTACATACAGCTTGTTACGTTGAGGGGGAAAGTCTGACATTAAGTGGAAGGAAGTTTGGAGAGAATGTAAGTGGTTTGAAGTTTCTTCTAATATTTGAAGCGGTATAAGCAAGCATCAAGCACAATTACCTGTGTTATATTCTCACTGGAACGACAAGTTATGGCAGGATAACTGTCTCTGGCTGAGGCTTTTATAGGAAATGAATGTGGATTAAAAGGGATGCTCAATTATCCTGCCACAACCTGTCATGTCTCTGAGAACCATTTCAACTTCGCTAAACAAACACAATGTAGAAACTTCACAATCCAGTAAACATTGGGGCACAAATCCACACCAGAGAGTGATGAAGACACAAAAACAGGCAAAGGTTTTTGATGTATTTGTATTGATACATTTATCACATATTAGACTTAATGGAATGGTTTACTGTATATATGAAATGACATGAACGCTGCAAGTTCTGTCCGTTCTAGAGTGCAGAGGGTACCGTGAACCTAAGAGTGGACCTTGCTTCCCCCCCCCCCGATTTATGCCCCTGGCCTTGCTCTCAAAACT